AAAATAATCTTAACCATAGTACTATCACTTAATACATCTAACATATTAAAGTAGAATACGAGATTTGTTAGAAAATGGTGAGTTAAGACTATTCACCAAACTGTTGTTAAAAACAACTTTAAATTAACCACGTATACAACTTCTGTTCTAATACATTTGAATGTGAACCATAACAAGATATTTTACATAACGAGAAAATAGAACCCAGTTTGTTTTCTTGTTTATTAGGCACTGTACGAGATGCTAGGTCAAGGTTTGGAAGATATGCCAGTAGACACCCCCCAAGAAAGAACAGCCTTAATCTTTGAAAAGATGGACTCTAATCATGACAGCCGTCTATCTCTAGAAGAGTTTTTGAATGGCTGTACAGAAGATCCCAAGTTGGGGAGGTTTTTGAGTGTTATTGGCGAAGAACAAAGAAATTAGACAAGAACAACATATTTTTGTTAGAATTGTTTACAGAATACATTATCTGTTAACTATTATATCCAACTAACATTGCTTGTGTTTTAAAGAATTCAGTGGTTTTTACAAAACTAAGAATTTAACTTGTATTTGTTTAAGCCATTTTTAATTTTTTGTTATACAATAACCAGTAAAAAACAAAAAAATATACTAGAAATGTGTCTAACAAAGAGCAGACATTTGTGAAAAACTAATTATTTACTGACATTTGAGCAATAGTATAACTTATTGTGACATCTTGTGAGTACAATAATTTATTTTTTGTACTAAAATTTACTTAAACCTGATTACACCTTGTAGGTCTTAAAACAAACAAATACTTAGAAGTCTGTCAGGTACGAGTTAACTGAAAATTGTGAATGAGCTATGATTTTAACTGTTATAGGTTAAATGCCTCATGTTAACTTAGTAGTTTTACACTAGAAAAGGGAACTGCAAAGTATTAATTTAATGTCGTAGCCTGATGTCTTGACACTTGTTCTGAATCAACAACAAAAGTAGAAAGGATTTTCATTTCTCTAATAAAGTAATTGAAAGAAACATCTAAAATTGTAGTATGAAAGTTAGTGTTGCACCTAGTTTTACTTGAGAGGTCACAAGAACAAGAAAAAAGGAAATTACACGTACAAAGATAACATCCAGTGTATCTATTTCAGTGCTTGTTAATATTTATATCATTCATTTTTATAGAGACAACTAAAATAATACTAGACAATAAAAAAAAATATTATTTTTACAATAATGATAAATAATAGTAATTAGTGGTGAAGTATTGCTAGATAAGTTAAGCCTAATAGGTTGATTTTATGTCTGTGATGAGCATAGTCTTGGCCCTGCTATGCTTTCAGGACAACTTTAACCATAATTGATTGGCTGCAACAGTTAAACTTGAATCACCAGAAAAATCTAAGTGCGTGAGGAGATGTGATCACAGCCTTTTTGTGTTGTCTATTAATGGAATTAATGTATCAGGTGCTAGTTAATGAATCAGATTTCACACTTAAAATTTAAAACTGGTTTTAAGCTCATACTAAATTTATTAACCTTTGTGTTTCATAGGCTTATCAAGTGTTACCCAATTATTTTTGTTATACACATATAATTTTTGTTGGTGTGATACAACAATATAATGTCGTGTATTCATAAAGTGAATATATCTTTCTGGTTGTTTTTGTAATTTTCTGTGTAAGTCCAGGTTTGCATATTATATCATGGAATGGACTTATTTTCTATCTCAGTCTAAGTTTATTTTTCATTTAAGTCTAGGTTGGTTAATTTTCTTTTTTATCATAATTTGTACACGTCCTTAATGTACTGTTACTGTCAATAATAGTAATAATATATATACACGTATTATCACATTTTTTCACACCTTATTATGTATAATAGTGTTTTTTGAAAAGAAAACATTTTTTTAGTTTGTCTGTTAAGACCACGTTACCTGACTTTTTAAATAAGGGGCCAAGAACGTGCAAGGGATCCCACGTAACATTTGTTTTGTTATTATTCATTACAAAATGTATATATGATTTCTAAAAATAACATTTTATAACTAGATTTATCTATAAAATTGTATTAGTATTAAATAATATGTCAAATAGATGGCATAAAGTTTCAGCTAGGTTAACCAACCTTGCTGAATATCTTCATCATCTACAGGTTAAACATTTTTGCTCTTTCTTTCATCTTATTCTTTCCTTACTATCTTCAGACATTTTTCTACAAAATTATCTGTAGATTGTCTCAGAGACCTTACAATTTTTGTTAAAGTATAGAGTTGGAAATAGTTCCTCTGTTGTATGATTTTGATTCATAAATGAGCCTGAAATTTATTACCAGTGAAACATCATGTGATATTATTAATTGTTGTAACTTACATAAATTACTTGTTGTGCTTATCAGACATATAACATTTATAGTGATTTACAGTTCAGACTAAATCCTAACAAACACTTCACGTTTCATTATGACTGTTGTTTAAGAATATCAGTATTGTGTTCCTTAGGTTTTTTTTTCAGCATTGAAGCTTGTGAATGTGTTTGACTCTACAATTGGTATAATTGTTTTTGAATCTCGTTTTCTTGAGTCTTTATTTGTACATTCCAGCTTGTAATTGTTTCTGTATTGAGAAGCTTTATACTAATTGATCACATGAACATGTCTAATCCAAAATAAAGCTTATTTTTTGTACACGCATGTTGTTTCTATAAATATATATATATAGTACATACACACACACATATATTGTGAAAAGAAATGACAAAAAACTTGTTTCATAAAATACTGAAGTGATTTGGTGCCATTTTAATAGCAACATACACCATGGTGGATATGAATCAGTGGCTCCAGTCATCATCCATACTGATTAGACTTTGTCTATTGAATTCGTGCACTTGATTTGCATTTCTAGTGAGAAATTCAAACTGTATAATGTGGTTGCCATACAGTAATGAGTGCACCTTAAGGGTTAAACAAGATTTGACAAAACAACTCAAAATTTAAAAACAAGCAAAAGTGTTTTAAAATCACTGATATATTGAATTAACTACAAAAACATAAAGCAAATATGACTTTAAGTCCTGTAGAAGCTTTCAATCAATAAGTAATTTTAATTTATTTTGTAAGTTTTTTTTCACTGTTTTAAAATCCCACTGCAGTTCAAAACAAGTAGTTTATTCTGACTGTTGTGAAGTTTTTATATTGATGACTTAAAAAAACAACTGAATTTATGTAGTTATTTTAAAGAGACTGTTTTCTGCTGTAAGTATAAGCAATCACACTATTGCACCTGATTTTAATAATGTTGCCTTTTTTTTGGTAGAGAGGGAATTATCACATTAATTATATGTGAGACAAGAACAAGCATATGCAAAGAGGCTTAACTGTGTTGATGAGAACACGCGATTGAAGTTTGTCTACAAGCCAGCACAATAGTTATTTTGTATAAGTCTTTATGAGTTAATATTGGTCATTCTTTATATGTTTGTTTTGTTTGTGTGTTAAGTTTTAGATTGTAATGCCATTACAAAAAATATTTATGGAAACCATCTGTGCCTGATAAAATTCAAACACTTGTGTTATTAAACAGTTAGGTAGCTAAAACACAACTGCTATATAAAGTTTCTTATTTCTTTCTATGATGGATGATTTTTATGTTAGCTTACAATTATGACCATCATAATAGTCATAGATTTTAATAAATAAAAATATATTGAACAAATTTCATTGGATTTGAAATCTTACATTTGTTACTTGTCTTTGTAAATTATAGACCTGTATGACCATAAAGAATTTAAAATAATTCACACAAAAAAGAATTGTGAAAGAATACTATAGCTGCCCACTTATTGCTGATCTGTTAATGGGAAATTGGACACCTGAGTAAGACCAATTTAAATAGTGTTAAAATGAACAACAAACAAATCTAATAATGGTAACTGTTACAATAGACAAGTTCTGAGTTTGATTATTACAACAGCAACATTTTGACCAATACTGTTGCCTACTGTAAAAGTTGCTGTTATTCCATATTTTAATTAATTATTCAGTTCAGTATGTTCTTTACTAAATGTAAGTTCATTAAAAAAATTTTTCAGTGGATCCTCCAGTCCACAGGAATTTTACTGGCAGTCCTATCCACCACCTGGTGTGGATGTGTATATACTTATTAACGATTATTGCCATATTCTGAGTTAACTCGTTAATGTTGTGTTCAGTCATCTTAGTGTAACTTTTACTTATGCCTACATCTATGGCTGCTGCTGTAATGGATGTTTCCAAGATACTGTAAAAACTTCTTGGTTACACTTGATATGAATTAACATGTTTTTATACGAAGTGCATGTAGAACATTAATTCATGTTATGTTAATGTTGATACAGAAATTCAATAAAAACTACAAAACTGAATAAAAATATTTTCATATTAATATTATCGCTATCCAAATAAGGTTGAAAATATATAGGCAGATGTCTGCTTGTGATAACTGATAGATAAATTATAATTATAGCTCACTTGGAATGTAAATCTAGTGCCTTAAATCCTGGTAGTGAAACAAGTTAGAATATCTAAGTTGGCTGTTTCTTACTTTGTTTTCAAGTTAGTAAAACCAACAGAAAATTTATTGGAATGTTTTTTGGACTAAGAAAAGTGATTTAGGAAGACTTGAAAGTAGATGAATTAGCACTTAATCTGTTGTAACTGTTCCAATGTTTGTAATTCATTCATACCATTTTCAAGCAGTTGTAATTAACTGAAATGTATTACTTTTCAAGTAATTTAAATACAGCCATTAATAAATGATGCTTGGTAATACATGGTGTTAAAGAGCAATAACTGTGTGTTTCATTTTAGAGAACTAGTTATATGAAACACTTAATAGATACATTCTGCATTTTTTAACCATCTTTATCCAAGTAAAGTTTTCACTTGAGGTTTGTAATAAACCAATACGAGACAACTTTTAATCTTGTAAATAGTTAGATGACTGGTATTATGTATGTTTAAAACAACTCGACAGTAATTGTGTTTTTCAGAAACTTGCAAGACTACAGCTGTGCAGAATTTGATCCAAACAGTAATTTCATGAAGATTTGAAGCTGCTGAATCAAGATGGGGAAACAAAACAGCAAGTTGAAACCAGAGGTTCTTGAAGACCTTCGACAGAACACCGAATTTACTGATACAGAAATCCAAGAATGGTATAAAGGGTTCTTAAAAGACTGTCCTAGTGGAAACCTCTCAATAGAAGAATTCAAGAAAATTTATGGAAACTTTTTCCCATATGGAGATGCGTCTAAATTTGCAGAGCACGTATTTCGCACTTTTGATGCTAATGGTGATGGAACAATAGATTTTAGAGAATTTCTGTGTGCCCTCAGCGTCACATCTCGAGGAAAGTTGGAACAGAAGCTCAAATGGGCATTTAGCATGTATGATCTTGATGGAAATGGCTATATTTCCCGACAGGAAATGTTGGAAATTGTAACGGTAAGAAATTACTTTGATATAGAACATGTAACTGATAAAATGATTCTTCTCATACAAGTTTTACTGTTTTAACAACATTGGTTCTGAGGATTGGATCTTAAGACATTTATTGTCATTCTTGACTAGTTGTTAAGCGTAAAACTGGATAAGTATTCCTGTTTTTTTTCTTCATACGTGGTTAAACGGTGATTTTGAGAAGAATCCGTGAATATTTTTTTAAATATATTTAATAAGTGTGATATATATTTTTTTTGTCCACTTAAGTTCATTTAATTTTTAAATCACTCTTTACTTTAGTTATTCAGAAGTCATTAGTTCATTTTATTATATGTTTCATAAACAAAATTTTACTCTGTGGAAAACAGAAGCAGAATAAAGTATTTAAATCTGAGCAGTTTTTAAAACAGAGTAAAAACCAGTCAGTAGAGCTGGACATATGATGTTAATCTGATGGAGAATGTAAAATGTTCAGTTATTAGAAGAGTATTATTTAATAACTTCAGTCCATAAATCACTTGTTTCATGGTCTTCTTTCACTACTACCTGGGTTGGTGCTATAACTCCATTATTTAGACTAATTCTTTTACTCCTAAGTTCTGTTGTTATCCCTTACTTGAGATGCTGCAGTCAAGATTCGAACTATCTTTTTAAGGAAAGAGATCTGTGTGTGTGTTTGAACAAAATTTAAAGACATTAATTTTCCCCACCATTTACACATTCACTACCAAGGGGGATTGACCCAAAACTTTCACTCAGGCCAAAGGGATTTTATTAGTGAAATGGATGCAGTCACACCTATCTGTTTATGGTGATCTGGAAATTAGAAATTGCCAAAATGGCCCAGTATAGAACTGTCAGACACATGTGGCAAATTGAAATCAGTAATTAGACCTTATAGGTCAACTTGCTAGGCAATAATTTTAATGAGGAATCTTTGAAAGAGAAAAATGGCCAAAAAAGATATTGAAGAAGATGAAATACCTGAACCCATTGGTCATGACCATGTCTATGATGTAGATTTTGAAGAAGATGTTCATCTATACTGGAAACTTCTTGGTGAGGATGAATCTTCTGATGATGACTTTGATAAAACAAAAATATCAATGATCCTGTGTGTGATATAGAAGCCATGAATATGGAAGAAGATGAGGAAGAGGGAACATGGGATGACTATTCCTCAATGCAACAAGACTTTCCCTTTACTGGAAAGGAAGGACTATTGAAAGACATTAGTTATGATGCATATTCATTGTTTGTTGATGAAACAAACGGGATATGAATGTTGAAGATATGAGCAAAGAATCTTGAAAGAAAGCTTGGAAATTTACTGACATTATTGAAATCAAGAAATTCATTGGATTATGCTTTTGAATGTGAGTAATGCAAGTAAAGAGCTCTATGGAAATATTGTAGCTTCCAGATTCGAACTTCAGCTCAGACCTTTTAATTTTCTAAATAATGGAACAATTCAAAAGGGTGATTGACTCAGGAAAATTCAATCACTCCTGGACATAGTGCAGAACAAAAATCCAAGAGATGATTCTGTATTCAGATTTTGTAAGTGACAAAACTGAATTACCATAGAAAATGTATAACAAGAAATTTGAAAATAGAAAAATAGAAGGTGGTCTTGCTCAAAAATATAGAAGAACTATCAGAAGGATTATTGAATGAAGGGCAGACCCTTTATTTAATTAACTTTTATACAAGCTATGAGCTAACTCTACCTTCCCAAGGAAGAAGACCCACATAATAGGAACAGTGAGGGCAAATAAAAAGAACCTTCTTAAAGTGCACCACTGAAGAAAGGAGAAACGGTTGCAAAAGAGGATAAGAATGGAAATGTGGTACTAAATGGAGAGAGACACATGATGTTATCAACAAAGCATGCCCCAGATATGGTAGAAATTTATAGAATGGAAACCCAAAGTTCAAATAATCATATACAAACTGAAAATAGAACTCTGTGCACCATCCACAAGTCAAGCCATTCAGCCGTTTAGAGACTGAGACAGATGCCAAAGTAAAAAGAAACCAAAAGCAACAGCATATAACAAAGGAAAGACTGGTATAGATATATCAGACCAGATGTCATCCTATGCATTGATCCTTCAAATTGGAATTTAGGAAATTCTTTTTGATTTAACTATTGTCAACAGCATATAACAAAGGAAAGACTGGTATAGATATATCAGACCAGATGTCATCCTATGCATTGATCCTTCAAATTGGAATTTAGGAAATTCTTTTTGATTTAACTATTGTCAATGCATTTTTTTGTTTACAAATCTAAGGCCAAGAAAACTATTACTATAAGGACTTTCAGAGAAGAGATAGCTAAGGATTTTATGCAAATTTGTGAAACAGGTGTATGATCAAAGCCAAATTGTAGTAACATTCATACCTTGATGGTAAAGAAAGATGGAAATAATAATAGAAATGTAAGAAGACACTGTATAGATTGCTATGAAAACCTAAAAAAAGAAGTAGGAAGAGCAGAAGCTAGGAAGAAGGTAAAAAGGGTGCCAACATGTTGCCCAAACAATTCACATATGTGCTTTGGTGATTGACATAAAAATGTGTAATAATGTTCTTGACAAAAACTAGTTTGTTAAAGTGATGTTTTCTGTTAAACAATTGTGAGGAAAAGTTTTGAGTTGAATGTTTTATCTTATTTTTATATCATTTTATTATTTATATATTTATTTTTATGAAAGTTATTTTGTATTCCCTGTGCATTTTCATTTCAATGAAAAAGGATTCTAATATCCAACTGGCTCCGCTTTCCAGAACCTGGGTAACACTAAGTGGTGGAATATATGAAATATAATAGCACAGCTACCAATAAATTAGTAATCTTTTTTAGACAAGTCGGTTAGTATAAATCTTTTAAAACTAAATTTTCATCACAGAGCCAAATAAGCTATGTCTAAATGTTTGCCTGAGGCTGGTTTCAGCAAATAATGTGTGAACTTGTAGAGCTAATTTGTACTCAACTTTGTAGTTTTGTTTTTAATAGGCCATTTACAAAATGGTTGGTTCTGTAATGAAAATGCCTGAAGATGAATCGACACCCGAGAAACGAACGGATAAGATATTTCGTCAGATGGATAAAAACATGGACGGTAGGTTGTCACTAGATGAATTTATTGAAGGAGCCAGAAGTGACCCATCAATAGTGAGGTTGTTGCAGTGTGATCCTCAGTCATCACATTGATGAGTTAATAAACAAGACTTATTCCAGAAAACAAACTGTTACTCCTGAGGCTGCCAGCAGAGGGAGCTTCTCAGAAAAGAGATCCTGTAAGAATGTTGGCTATCTCATGATAACTATGCCAAGTGATCCCTGACTCTGAAATTGTTGTATTTACAAATTGTAGTTGTTTAAATTTACACATTGATAGAATATTTGCTCTTAAACCTTACATCTTGCTGTCTTAATTTGTTTGTTCCGTAGTGATTCTAAAGTTAATATTTCGCTGTTTCTGATAAAATTTACATAGAATTAACAGATAAGAAATTCCTTACTCTTTATGTGATTATAATGAAGAGGTCTTGTTAATAATAGCTAAGCTTTCACGAGTTCAGCAAACTTGCTTTCAGTGAAACAGACATTTTTGAAAAAAAAAATTGACGTTTTACCTAAAGAAAAGGTGTCAAATAAAATTTATGAAAGCCTTTAAAGCTGAAACCATTGTGAAGAACATTTAAAAGGTGAAACTATGTGCAGGATTAACATATATGCAATATTCTCTTCAAGATAACATTTTCTACCAAGATGTTGAAAGTACCTTATATATTTCTTGATGTTACTGTATGTTTCCGCATTTTGAATGGCATCACTTAACAGCTGTCAATTTCCAGCTTACCTCGTAACTCTGAGGGGATTAGCTTCTTATTTGTTATACACATTTTAAAATATTACGGTATGTTCAGGATTAGTTTAAGGGAGTGAAGTTAGCTACCAAAATTAAATACTTATTTAGAGGTGAAATAGTATGTGAACTTTACACACATTTATCTGAGCCAGCAGATGTTCAAACTGATATTTTGTGGAATATGGTAATTTTCTGTTGCAGAGCCTTGTGAAATTCTCTGTCACTGTTTTATTACCAAGATTCTTTTCATAATTCCTGAAATATGATAACTTTATAAATAGTTTTAGCTTGGCAGCTGGTAATTAGACAACGTTTCAGTCCACATTTGTGACCATCATCGAATCGACGGGCAGGTATACAAAGGTAGAATGAATTATTGTAAAATCAACAGGCAGGTTGTCCATTTGAATAACTTTCAAAAATTTACTGCTTGCTATACTTTTTTTTTAGTAAAGTTTTTTTTTGACTCCTGGATGTCAACCTTACTCACTGAAGAAACAAGTATGATATTTTTTAAGCTGTTATTTGTAACTTGACTGTCTTTCCTACAATTCTTTTGGCAGTATTAGTGGTATACATTCTCATTATCTTCTGAATCATCTGTGGTCTCGTAGTTCTATTCATCTGATTTTAGTTTACTTTGAAGTGGTATTTCATTGTAAGCATAGTTTTAAGCTTGATTTCAGTGCTACACTAGACATTACTTGAGTTGACCATATTTAGTAAGTTAATGCTCTTTATAATATCAATCCCAAGTTATGTGGGCATTTTGTAAGTATGTCACTAGACACCAATTACATTATTTAGTGAATGAAGGCTCTTTCTAATATCAGTACTGAGTTATGTGGGCATTTTGTAAGTACAAGACAATATATATTGCTTGAGTTTGATCTTATTTAGTGAATAAATACTCCTTCTAATATCAATCCCAAGTTACGTAGGTATTTAGTAATTACTACACCAGAAACTGCTCGATAAGCTAGGTTCTCAGTTTCTGTTGGGCTATCTTATTTTTTTGCATGGTTTAATCCATGTTAAAGTCTGAAAAAGAAGCCACATCATAGATTTTATTGTGGAATCTAACATGATAAACAAATACTCAAGATTATAAAAATGTCATTTTAAATAATGACTGCCTATAAAATTTATTACATATTTTGCTTGTTGAAACCATTTATTGTTTTACCTGTGAATCTTTCAATGACTATAGGTCGTGGAGCTTTCCGAAACAACTCGTGTTTTGTGTCACTTTAATAACATACACATTTTGAAGTATTTTATGAAATTTGTTAAAAAATGCTACAGTTAAATGTTTTATTATTATTATTTTTTAACCACAATGAAGAATTTAAAAGATGTTGCAATGAACAGGCAAAACTGTGTTCAGTGCACTGGAGTTCCTAATTGATATCTGTTGTGTCATACTTCTGAGCCACTATTAAATTAGTTTTGTTTGTCATTAAGAAGGTTCAAATTGCTTGCTTATTTACAAGTTCATTATAATAATCTTTTCATTGGTAGCAGTATATGTTAAATGTCCTGATGTAGCAGAACAATGAAAATGTGAATAATGTGTTAAAGTAGATTAAGTGTTATCATTCCATTAATACATGATAATAATGACCATGTCACAATATATTTGGTCTTAAATTTAAAACTTTTTGTCAACAAGTCTTAGGGTCTCAAAGATGGTGATTTTAATGTTACATAGAGTGTAACCGAGCATCAGTACAAATTTGAAAGAATTAAGTAAGATAATTAAAAAAATAATGGCTTGTTAAATAATATATTTTATTAGGTGTGTATATTGCTCATTTCTGATGGCCCCTAGTATAAAATTTCTAACAAGGAAAGATATAAAATTATACATACAGATAAGAGAGCTTTTTTTTTTTACTACCAAAAAATGTTGTAAAATATGTCCTTAAAATGATAGAGAGGAATTTAACTTGGCTTAAAGATAATGTAGATTAAGTTTTTAGAAGATCTGTATTAATATATATATCTATTTGGTAAGTTTTCTCCAGCGAAAAATATAGGAAATTTGGTTCAGTTGTCTTTAATGGTTATGAAATTTGATGTAAAATATTTTTAAGGTCCCAATCTTTTTCGAAGCAGTGCTTGTGGTCCTAGAAAGTTAAGTTGTTTTTGATAAAAGAACATAAATGTTATAAGATCAGGTGTATGATATGATAATAACTCTTCAGAAAAGGTTCGATAATACCACAACTACGATACCTGTTAGGGCATTATTTAATTGAATGGAAAAAATAAGATTAGCTACGTAGTTTCAACCAGTAGTCACTGTTGTTCCATAGGTATGTATATGCCTCGGTCCAAATATTGAACAATCAAATGAAACGTTTATATTTCTTGATACTTTGTACTACTGTGCACATTTTTAATCATACCACATGGCATAGTATGCTACCAGTATTTAACCCTTCCCTGTATGGTGGGTACAGTATTTAACCCTTCCCGGTGTGGTAGTATTGCATAATTTCAAGTACTTGTGCATTTGGATTCATAATTCAGAAATTTAAATATATCTGAAACCCAGACACTTCAAAGATAAAGCACGATAATCACTGAATGTATTGTGTGTGATAGAGTTGTATATTATGCAACATACACGTAACCAGGATGAAACCACGCTTTACCCGAGCTTACTAGCAAAATACAATAACAGACCTAATGACACAATATACTAGGCCACTTTTTATTAAAAAAATATTTTGCAGGGTTTGTTTGTAAAATGAAAACAAAAGTGCCAAAGTAATTACTTTAACAAAATAATTTACCTTCACGTGGCATTAAGAAAATACAAAAACCTTTTACAATATTCCTAGATTATTTGAAGGCAAGTAATCACAAAACACTTCTTATGTAACAGCTAAAGTTTTAGAAATCCATATACACAGAATAAAACGAGCTCTATGCCAAACAGATTGCAAGAGAAAAAAAAACCAGTTTTAAGGTGATATATTTATGATTTTGTTAGTTTAGAAGTTTGGAGGTTACAAAACAAAAACTTAGGTCACTTAAGAATGTTATTTTTTGACACCAATTTCATAAATTCACTGTTTTCAAACTAGAAATAACAAACAAATGTATTTGAAGATAAGTTTACAATTTTGCTCCTTAAATAAATATTACAATTGTGGGTGCATACTTTATTACATTTAGCAGTTAGGATTTTTTTAAATTATTCTCCACCCAACAAATTTTAATAAAATACACACAAAACAAACCTTTTAATCCTCAATGATTTGGTTAGTCTTATTTTGCAAAGACACAAAACTGATTTTTTTTTAAACTTCGTGATGTCATTTGACCTCACGATAAACACAAGTACCAGGCTGGAAAGAATTAAGACATCAAAACTGGTAATTTTATTATTAAAAAAAAAAGAATATATTGAACCGAAGTGTAGTTCATGAAAATAAGAAATCCATATTAATAACAATGTTGAAGATCTGGAAATCAGTTTTAAGTTTAAACATTTAAATATTGCAATGTCTTTTACTTTTTTTTTTTAGAGAGAATTAAATTTGGCATTTCTAGCAAAATTTCCACTACAAGTTCTGCCCCCCAGTGGCACAACGGTGTGTCTGTGGACTTACAACGCTAGAATCCGGGTTTCGATACCCATGGTGGGCAGAGCACAGATAGCCCATTGTGTAGCTTTGTGCTTAATTACAAACAAACAAACTACAAGTTCTGTAACACTTTGTTGGCATATGTTCTTTCAGACAATGTCAGCCTAAGTTTTTGAGGTTCATAGACTTAAAGGATGTTACAATCATAACAGTTGCTTAAAAGTGTGCCTGTTAAATGAACAATTCCACATTAGGAAGAAGGAAAATAATAGTATGGATTTGTATAAAAAGTGATTCAAACAATAACTACCTCTACAGTCTGTTAACTAGCTGCATATTAAATTTGTTTGCTGAAATTGTTAAAAGCTAATATGTCAAAAATGTCACTTTAAAAGAGTTATGAAAATAAAAACGAAGATGTATATTCAGAAGTGTAATTATTTTTTTGTGGTTTAATTAGTTGTGGAAAATATCAATATGCTACTACTTATAGTGGAACATTTTTGAATATAGAAGTGTAGATGTTATGAACACCAGTAGTGCCATCTAGGTACAATACGATAAACTTTAAAATCCACTTTGCTTACACTCGTTTCTCACATGTAGAATATGAACTGGTTACTTAAAGAGATTTAAGTTTATGTTTGTCTTGTATGGCACATGTTGGCATTTCTTTGTGCATGTGTTGTTCTTTCAGTTATTGTTCAACCACTTAAAAAAGTGAGTAGCATAATGATGAATGATAGTGCCTATATAATATGATTCAAAAAATACTGGAATGATTAAGTGACAGGATTGTTAATTTACTTAATAATGTAGCATAAGTGAAAATATGCTGATCAGCCTTAATCAAACGTTGATAACCACAGTTGTCATACGAAGCTAAGCATAATGCAATCATGGAGTTTTATATAAAATTTACACTTCTTTCAGTGTGTAGTTAAGTCACAATTAAGAAACCTAATAAGCTAAGTACTATAAGGGTAAGCTTTCGTGTTCTTTAATTGTGATTTTTTTTTACCCTCTTGTATTTTCTAAGTATCACTAGGATGTATCGATATAGTTAAATAACTTGAAATATTCAGATTTTGAGTCAGTCAGAGTTGTATGATGGGCATAATGGATTGTAAACACTTCAATAGAAAACTCAACACTTGCTCATTATAGAACCAAGCATCTTCTGAAGGTATCATTTTGTAAATACACATTTAAGTAATAAGGTTTTCTGGTACACGATTTGAATTTTTTTGTGCATTTTTACTTGCACACAGTCATTAAATATTCTATTCTATTAATATGAACCTTTTTCATAAAATATATATAACTATGCTAGTTTCCACTAGAACTTTTTTTATGAAGTGTTTTTTGATCTTCTATTTCTTATTAATAGCTAATGCTGTTGACGTCTACCAAATTTTAATGTTCCAAGTAAACAGCAGATAAAAGTAAAATTATTATGTTAAGCGACTCCATTGCCTTTACCTTAAGGCAAGAAAGTGACTGTACATGTAAACCAGAATTATTGATGTTTCCAAACTTATGCAGTCTCATATGCTGTGATTTTCTGTGTACATTTTTTCACTTTCCATTATTAATAAATTTCACGTTTCAATGGTGTTTTTTGTCTGTTGTACGATACTGGAAAGGACTGACCACACACACACCACAATAATTCAGTTTAAGGTGATTTTAATATAGTTCATGATTTAACTAATTCCAGTGACTTCTTGTATTATATTACATTTAACATGTTAACCTTACATTAAACTGTTGATCCTATGTGTACAGGTGCTGGTATCAAATACAGTATTTATGGATACTGAAAAAAAAACTATATATGCATTTCAGATGTTCTGGGGGTTATGCAGAATCTGAGTCAGACTGGTGTCATCAATACCTAAACATGGCTATATAATTTCTCCAATTCATGTTGGATTGAAAGGCATAAAGTCACTAATGAATTCACTATCAACACCATCAGTTTCTAGACCTACCAGAAAATACCATGAAGTCTGACTACCACACCAAGCACCAAGACGATAACACAGACCACAAGCCAAACAGTTGGAAGGTAGCTATACCTTAATGCCAATGACTGCATAAACTGTCCACACATATGGTCACTGTCGGTGTCCATAACTGATCTTGTTTTTACCTTGTGATCATCAACTTTCACGTTACCAGATACATGCCCAATAGGTAATGGGGGAGGTAAAAATGGATCCATCCTGCTAATAACTTTTAATGGTTCTCCTACCATATAATGTTTTCCAACTTCTTTGATCTGGACCTCAACCAGTTGCCCCAGGTAGTGGTCTTCTTTAGGAACAAGAACCTAGTAAAGCAAATTTCAAAACAGCTTCTTAACTAATGTAGCTTTGGTCTAGCATATATTAAATCTCCAACATAAATACAAGTACTGCCATTCATACAATTTTTCTTATCGTGACTCTTACATGGAAGCTAACTAACCCTAAGCTAGAAATTACTTGTACAATCTTACAAGACAGGAATCACCCAGTAATTTGTATAATGCAGAACTGGTTTAAAATGTACTTTGAACAGTAAATATTAGTTATGCTATTGTCGTCTTTGTACATCATGAGCTATCTGCACTGCAAGGAAACGAAACTCAGATTTTAGTGCTGTAAATCCATAGGCTTACAGCTGAGCGGTAAGTATAATATAATTTATCAAAAGAACATCATAAATAATTATAACTGACAAATGTACCTCTATGCTATGTCTTAAGCCTAATAATATATTATATACCAGATGACTAAATTTACTAACAGGCAAGTAATTGTTGTGAGCCTAGCCTGTAATATATAGGTTGGTTTTCATTAATAAGCATCATACATGTACAACGATAAACATTTTAAACCAAAATTGCTGCACAAAAAAAGTTCTAGGTGTGGTAAGCAAATACTACATACCTAACTTTCACATAGGCCATGTTTTCTATCATCCTAAATTCAGTTAAGGTGTTATTTAGATGATTTGGAAGCAGTTTCAGCACAGTGGTTGTGCACTATCTTATATAGAAGGATTTTTATTTGTATTTCTCTCAACATCAGAAGTGCAATGACCTACTACCTCAAACCCAGACTTGTATGACAATCATGGGTGAATTTTGATGTTCAGTATTACACCTCCATATGCGAGAAAGGGGTTCATTTATGTTTGTAACTGTTGTTTTTGAGGAGATATTTTTGTAATTTTTTGTTTAAAATGTTTCACACATTATTATCAACACCTTTGCTATTGATATTTTGGGTGTATGATGCATACTGATAAAAGTTTTATCAATATACATGTTACAATGTTTAGTTGTGACTGGGGGTATAAACTAAGTTTCAAACATGGCACCCTCTGAGTTGGGGGGGGGGGCACAGAAACACAGTATTTAATAGTACATTTGGGTTCAGTAACCCTGAAAACCTGCTCCTAGACCCCCTATCATAGCTGGAGAACTTTGCCATCTAGATAAGTACACCCCCCTCATTCACCCCGAGTCTGTCAGCCAAGTTTGGTCCTTCTTATTCTTGAAATGTAGGAGGAGGTTGCAGACAATTAAATTCAAACATGCAATGTGAATTAATATATAAATGAACTCAATAATATTATGACAGAGTAGGCTCACAATACCATAAACTATTATTTTCCTATCAATGGACTTCTAAAATCACTGTACTTTTCATCCAGTAGGTTAATTCTATTAAATCAAGTATGCCTAAAACTAAGTACAATAATTTATAACATCAGTTAAAGGCTAGTGATTTTGTTTGGGTGCAGTGATAATTTCAAGCTTGCACAACACATGCCTGATATACTGTAATAATTTAAAAAGAAAAAAAGTCAAGTAGTTATCTGAAACAAATGTGCTACAACTGTTTACATATTATATGACATTTCTATATAAAACTGACTAAAATACTATAGTATGCTCAACATTTTACACATCTGAGTTTATTTGTTCTATTTGACATCTTAAATAGAACTGAAAAGAAATTATTTAATGATTTTTGCACTGTTTTTCACTTCTACCATAAGTAGCTTGTGTGTTAATGTTTACACTTTCCAAATTGAACCCTCGGATACCCTTGTTTTTACACTTTTCACACTAAACCCTAGAAACTCTTCTTTACTTCAGAGTTTATTAAGACATTTAACACCTACTTGGGTTAATTTTAATAAACATTTCAATCTTTATTTCTTTGCAAAACATTTAGCCACAACAAACTGAAATTCTTCTATTATTATCTGCATTTTTCAGATTTGATTTGTAATTTGTCAAATACTATCCATTATTTCAAGCTTATCGTAGAGTAACAATTGAGCCACAACCGTACAGACAGCTTATACTTAACAAAATGGAAACAAGTTCCAAAGAAAGTGTGTGACACAAATATACATTACTTATCCATACTTATAAAGATGTTTGTTTCTTTATCTTTTGGTAAACAGGAATATTTATCAATCTCCAACTGAGAGATGTGACCTTCTGATTTTTTTCTCATACAAAACCATGTTATATAACCATGGTCTTTACGAAATAATATAGGCCTACTTACTACAGCTGAAAGGGTAATTGTTTGAAAATTAATATTCAACACATCAAAGTACTAATTAACTTTATTGCTAAAACCTGAAACTTCAAAAACCAAATAAAAAAGTGATTTTCAATAGACCTAGTTGGCCAAAAAAGAGGGAACCCAACTTTCTAATCAATAGAAGCATTTGTTTTATGGAATCAAATACCCCTGGTAAGAACAGTGTATAAAATTAGCTCTGATCTTTGGTGGTGGCTTGCTTTGATTGGAAGTTACTGATAATTTTTCTAAATGGAATTATTATACAATGATTTAGGTTGGTCAGTAATAGTATGGCAATTCAGCATAAAGATGTCTCCCATACAGATGCTCAAGTACACGATTTCTAATTTTTCCCCTCTCCGTCCTTTTAACATATCTAGGCCTTCCAGCAAATCTTTAAAACCTGTATATTTGCTAAAAGAGCCTGTAATATACTATAACATCCTATAAAAAATGTATATTTACAGAAATAATTTAAATTCAATTCTTAGCTGTAGTTGTTATACACGCAGTCAGTAACACATGAATATTTTAAGTTACAGGGTAATAATAATTAGATAAAAGGTGGGAAACAACTTTTTTGGAACGTACTCCAGTATTTGTTTCCTTTGGATTTAATCAGTTATAATACAACATCTCTGAAAGAGAGATTTTCCTAAGTAATATTTCAGTCAATTTCAGACTGTGCTCTAAAGGCTAGCAACAGAAGCCTGCATATTAAAAACAATATGTTTTTTAATTTATGGTCATACAAAATTCTTACTTGTTCATAAGACTTGTTATGTCCAACATAGTGCTGTTTGTCATGAGATAACTCTGTCACGAGCACTGTGTAACACTTCCCTATCCTCTGCTTGTATGGTTGATGAGACTTGAACTCTTCGGTGATTCGCTTAGTACGTTGTTTCACCTGAAAGTATGCAGAAATAATTATAGTATTTTGGCACTTGTGTATAAAGTTAAAATCATAAATAATATTCAACTTTAAACTGGTACACACTTTATTTTTTTAATTGTGTACCAGTTTAACATTGAATATTATTTATGATTTTATGCAGAAATACATTGAATACACAGATGCCAGTTGTTAACTCATGCAGACTTCTAAAGAAAAACATTGCGTGCAAATTAATTATGCATCCAAAAATGGTTACTTGGGAAGAGTGTACGTGTTTTTCTAAACAAGTCATTAACTCTAACAGTACAAAATTGATCATTTTGAAACTATCTTGTAACCACGAAACTACACATATTATAATAATAAATGTATTAAATGTACCTTCATTTGCATTACTTTTTAAATAAATATAAAATTTTATAAAAAATTCTCATATCCTCGACCTAACATTAATTATAGCAAAATTATGAAATGACAAGTTTAAAAATATGAAATAAAATTAATAATAGCATTTTTTTATTAAGATGTTCAATTACTTATCTTCACAGGTTTAATTGTTAACCTTTTCATATCTGTGTTCTTTTAAGTTTATGGTTGTATTGCCTGTACTTTGGACCAGGAGTTTTGTCCTTTATCTAAACAATAAATCGGCAGGAGCTCATTAGCTGTTTACCTTACATAAATACAACATGATCTTTGCACTCTCAGCATAACTGCTGTAAGCCTCAGTGAATCTTAAACACTGAATCATATAGTTTTCAAATATGTATTTTAGAACACAAAAGATATATCAGTCACCAGTATATTATGTCCCAAAACTACTGTAATTTATCTGGCTTTCTAATTAGGTTAAAAATAGCTATTCAGACTAGTAAAACTGTGATCACAAGACAATAAAGACGATGGCTGTAAGCTTGATATAGAGGAGAATATTGGTTATAAACATGTTCATTGACCATGTAAACAATCTCAAAAGTCAGAGAGGGGAGGGGTTTCTCTGGTAAGTGTGACAAACGTATTGGTTATAATGGCTGGAGACGGCTTGGTTATCTTAGCAAATAAAAGAAAGTAGGAGGTTCAAAATTTGTGTTTTTAACTGGTTGGAAACTGCTGTAGGCTGTCTTAGAAGTTGGAATACTTTCTGTTCTTATAGGTATCGTAACACAGAAAAATTAAGATTGAGCATTTTTTAAACATTCCTTTCTGAAATTAAGGTAATATTATTTGAATTATGTTCTCATGCCAAGTTTATTGACAGACATTAATAATAAAGTTGTTTAATTAAATTTTGGATGCAACACTATAAAAGATCATGACATGCACTTTTGCTTTATCGTGCAAAAGAAGATTAAAAAAAAACTTTCCTCAGTTTATGATGTCCAGGAATCAATTTGGTATGAAACAAAGAAAAAATGGTTAAATTTCTCTGATAAGAAGAAAAGCTGAACACATCTTTTAAGATTTAAATGGATTAGTGGGCTTTTATTTTTTTATATGAAATATGCTTGAGACATGTCCACACACAATGTGAGATCAAACCACCTGTTCAATTCTTACAGCACAATATTAACCCTCTAGATATATGTAGGTTAAAGTACACATGTCACAACCTTCTTACAAAGTTACAGTCAAGATATAATTAAACAACATTATTATCAATGTATGTCAATAAACTTGGTATCAAAATATAGTTTATAATTAAAATTTTAATACAGTACACAACTTTTAATTCAAAAGAAAATAGTTAAATAAATTCTCAACCCTCACTTTTATGTACGATACGATTCTTCGCTCCAAACTACCAATTTTAGAATTTTCACCACAATATTATTTTCTAAGTCTTTGAAGACTTACATTAAAAGTTATAAAGTCTATTCTTATTTTCATTAACTATATGCCATATACGTGCAATGCCTGTCTTAACACATGCTGCACCTTAAAAATGTGAATAACTTTCTCTGACATTTGCTATTAGATTGCTTTCATTATGAACTTAGTTCATTCTCAGTTGATTTTGAATTATTATGCATCAAATTTATAGTTTCCTATTGCCCAGCTCACATTCATCTGATAGAAAAAATATTTTAAAAGTTAAATTATTATAGTTTGGGGACTTTTTTGTTGTGTGTTAACATTTTGTGCTCTAAATTCCATATTCAAAATAGATAAAAATTAAGTAAAGTATTAACAATACACTTACAAAAAAAAAATAGGGTTAACTTTGATCAGGTCTTCAATACTCTGAAAGCAAAAAAGTACATGACCTACAAATAAATACTAAATTTCTTGCTTTTTATTTATTGTTATAAAAGTAATTAAAATGTAAAAATTAGAAAATTATTAATTAAGATAAAAATTAAGGGTAAGAAATTGAGTATTCTATTACAAGCATAGCATGTTGGTAACTCAATGCTATGTTTACACAAACCTTTCCTGCAGGTTATAATTTACTTTGGCACTAACCAGTAAAGCAACAAATCTAAATGACTGAAGGATTTAAATTGTATTAACTTTGGCTGTAAGAATAAATAGCATGTAAGTGTCTGTAACAATATGCGAAATTCTAGAAAAAAAAAGGTAATTTATACCTTTTTTTGTTTTGTGTGTGGTGGTTACAAGGTCTGTCAAATTGACAGTGCCTTTGTAAAGTTTTGAGTAAAACCTTTTGTTATTCATTTGAGGTTCTAAAGGTTATGGAAGAGAAAGTTGAAAATTGTTAGATGAAAAAAAAAATGTTTATCTTAACATGAAAATGACCTTTCACTCAGACTTTGACCATAAATTCCCAGAAAAATCTATAGTGAAAATACTTAATTAGAAAACCCGATCTTTTGTTTACTAAAAGCTTGCCAAATTTCATGAAGATACACTTACTACATTAAAAATTATGGTATGTATAGTTACATGGTGGTTGCCAGGTTAGTCAAAATGACCAAGCCCATATACAGAGGGTTAAGGAGTATTATTGTTTATATCTAAAAGCAGTTTTCTCCAATCAAGAGATTTTGTCACCATATCTCTTTTAAAAATAAAAATTTTCCAGTAATACATATACACAAATGACATCATACATTTATTACTCAAAAGTTAAAGATTTAATTAAGTGTTAGAATTTTCCAAGTACAGCTTACGCTTATTATACAATTCATGATTGGAGCTCTAAAAATTCAAAAAGACTTTCAAAATTCATGTTATAATACATTAAGAAAGAATGAATGACTTTTATACTCCTAGTTATAATATTAACAAATTGTGGACGGGTTACGAGTTTACTCGTGTTTCGCACAGAGCATCTACGTGTGCTATTTATAAAAACGTTGAGTTTGAAAGGAGTCAAACTCGTTTTATTTTGTTCGTAACTCAACTATATTTTTATTAGTTATTTGAAACTTACATAAAAACACCTAGTAAGTTTTCAAAGTGTGGTATCTTGTAAAACATTTTCCTATATGGAGTGGAACCACACAAAACTTGCATATATATCACATTTCACTTCTTTTCCCATGGGTAGTACAAACTCTGCAGGCTTTGGTAATTTCTTTTTTCCTATAGATGAAATAACACAGGAATATGCTGCTTCGTGTCACCAGACAGTCTTCCTGGGGGATCCTTATGTGGGGCTCTCCTTGTACTTTCAGATTATGAACTGGGTTTATTCCTCTCTAGTTCCAGTGTGCCTTCTTTCTCTTTGTAAGTAATCCATTCTCTTCCCACGGAGAGGAGGAACTACTTATAGTTTATTTTTTCTGTTGATTCAGGGATTTGTAGATTATACATGAATTGAAAAGGTTGTAATTCATTAGATAAATTACTACCTTTTTTTTGGTCCATTTCACTGTTTATCTGAGAACGGTGTAGTATAAGATACTGATTGGCAAGATCAACACCTTTCATGTGGGCATTATATTGGACAACACACACACACACAGGTTTTTTATTTCTTCTCCAGTTATTCTAATTTTCTTTCCTGAGGTAGAAACAGATGAGTCATGGATGGTTAAAACCATTCTCTCTTGTCTTTCCATATGAAAACAAGAACATCACCTTTTCTATGGAAAGCCGTTTCACCTTTTTTCACTGTTGAAACTTCATGCTTGGCGGCAAACCTCTTATCTTAGATGTCCTCTCCATGGAATCGTGCCCTCATCCAATGACAACTGTTGCTTTGATTTGTATAGTGTCCTGAATTTATTGAGAAATAATCCAGTACTGGTTGAATTTTGAAGAGCCTGCCCAAAGACTGATCCATTTTCTGATTATCATTGAAATGCCAAAATGTCCAAATTTGTTCAAAACTGTTTCTGCTCATTGTCTGCGAAAATATTGGGCTAATTAAAAGAAGATTTGTTGACCAAAAATATTTCCGGTTATATTTCCTTGTCTGTCCCATTAGTAGAATAAGGCCTAGGAATTTCCTCATGTCTGTAACTTCAGACCATTGAAATCCTTTAGATGACACTTTATGTTTCTCTGCAGTTTGATTATGGTAGGTACACATTTACTGACAAAACATTTCAAACAAGTCATCACCAAACATTAGACTTGTCACGGCAGCAATACTTTTGGGTTCAGAAGGAGTTATAGTGACCCCTGGATTTCCTTCAAACATTTCAAAGTTTGCTGGAATATCTATCCCAATGGAAAGACAAATCACTAACAGGAACAATTGTAGACTCATCATCACTTTCTGATTCAGAATCAGTTGAGAGCACAACAACTTTATGTACCTTTGTATGTCTAATAACATCATTGTAGCTAGAGTCACTGTCAGAATGATCCACGAACAAATCCACATCAGAATCTTCACTCAACACGTTACATTTTCTGCAAGAAGTCATCAGAAAAACAATAACCGTCCGGAACAACATAAAACGTGTCCGACTCCTTTCGATTGCAACGTTTTAATAAATGGCACACAAAGACGCTCTGCACGAAACACGAGTACACTGGTGACCCGTCCGCAATGTGACCCGTCTGCAATGTGTTAAGTATACGTTATAGCTTTATCAGATTATGAGAATCTGAATGGAAAATAAGTGTAATATTAGGTGTAATGGTAATCATATTATTTTACTTTCTTCACACTTTAAAATCTGACTTTATGATTCATTTTGAAATACTTGATTTTCAGATAATGACTAAGTGCATAAAAGATGATTTAATATATCAGAAGAGTCAATAATACCAAGTGTGACTGTAATCTGAATCAGTTTTTAGGTTTCTATACTGCGTGAGAAATACCACGTATGCTGTAAAATTATTATATATCACAGCCACATAATGCCTGTTTGTTTAAAAAAAATGTATTAAAAATCTTGCCAAAACTTTATTAAGAAAAATATAAAATGAGGTAAAGAAAAGTGGTCTCTACTTGTTGAGCTGGAACTCTTGGTAACCTTGCTGCTGGTGTTCCCGGTCGAGGATAAAACTGGTTGATAAAGAGGGATGGGAACTTGTAATCTTGAACTAAGTTGATTGTCTCTTCAAAATCCTGCTTGATGACAAGTCAGTTATGTGACAATGAAAAACAAGTATAATTCTAGATGAAATAAAGGGTGTCACAAAAGTATTATCCCACATATGAAAACTTACCAGCAGGCATTTTCAAGTGTGTGTTATTTTAACTACCAGAAACCTTTCAATACACAGAAGTTTCATGTTGTGGAAGTCACTTCCAAGTTACAAATATTCCTGATGTTTAATTATCAAGCAACTTTCAACAATCATGTATAAAACAACCTAAGAATCCATTTCATGTTCTATACCCACAATGGACACAGAAATATATCGTATACAAGGTACTACTTTTGTTCAACTCTGTATTTAGACAAAATGGTCAAGTTCAGGTATTGGTGTAAAACGTGTTTTAAGCTACCATCATTTCTTCATTCTTGTGGTAGATGTAAAGTCCCTCCATAAATCCCTAGATTTGTTCACTGTTTGATTTCAATGGTACTTTTATATTTGTCAACTGTATCAAAATTTTGAGATACAGTATTTGTTATTTAACAAAATTCTGTGACATAAATTTGGTAAATAATTAGAATGTTACTCAATTTTTTTTATCCTTGTAGTGTATCCTTTCAACATTTTGTAACATCTGGCTTAATGCTGTTTTAGGTATAAACGTAAATCATTTGAAATTTACAACCAGCACGTGAACACACACATAGAATTTTGTATATTCTTTTGCTGGCTAAGTTCTTTCCACAGTTATCTTTTAATACACACTACAGGACTTTTATAACAAAGGCTGATTTTATTTTGGGAGCGATATTTTTTTTTGACTAATTCATTAAAACAAAATTCTTATTTTTTTGCCACATGATGTAATTTGAGGAAAGCCCCTTGGGTACTGATGGAGATGTGGGAAAGGGTATCTTAATGAAACCATATTTGACTGCCAATACTAAATAAATGTATGTTCAAGAACATAAGAAATCATACCTCAATAGTCTTGTAATAAAAAAGTCCTTACCTTTTCTGTTTCTGTAGGAAATCCACATATCACATCTGTTGCTATGGTGATTTCAGGGACTCTTAAAAATAAAAAAATACTTCAATTAAAATCAAAAAATATCTCCCTTAAAAAATTATCCTTGTTTTGACATATATATATATATATATAGAGAGAGAATTATTGAAGCAACTTCTTATACAAATAATATATGAACAGTATTTTAATGATGCTCAATTATGTAAAACCAAACAGACCCCTATTTACAGCCAGCTTCTGAACAATACTTGATCATATGAGACATTATCAAAACTTCTCTGAATAATTAGGAACACAAGCTCACAACTCTGAATGCTTCCATAAACACTTCTCCATACTTCACACTGCCTCAACACAGTTTAACTTTCATTACATTACTTTGTTAAAGCCGCCACGTATTTTAAGTTAGTAATTTTACTGCATCCATAGCTCATAATTTTCTGCACCGAACTTAAAGATTATGCAGGTATAATGAATTTAAACTTACCTACCAAGTTTTTGAGACAATTCTATTAGTTAATCATGCTCTATAATAGGCATAAGCTTTGCTTTTGATCAAAAACAATATTATACTATACATAGTATACGAATTTAAACTTGACTGAAACAAGCTATTGAATGAGTGCTCTAGTACAGTGTTTCTCAACCTTTTTCACTTGTGGCTCCTTTTGAGTTTGATTTATCTCTGTGGCCCCCACCCTTCGTAGATGCTGTTACTGAGGAAAAAAGTTACTTTATTTCCACACTGTTGATTTATAATATTGTATTGTTTTTAAATATTTTGTTTATAACATGCTATTTACTTATACAAGTAAAAAATATTCTGTTAGTCATTGACATTTTATTCTGTGTGATCCTTGGGCCTGATGAACACTTGAAAGTTTTTGAACGTCTGGTTGCAGTATGGTCAGTGAAATGAAGATCACCTCTCTTCACAACATCAAGGAGGTTACGTATTTTTGATAGCAAATAAGTCACTCGACTAAAACCAGATTCAACCAGATAAGATGTGAGAAAAGTGATAAAATACAACTTTGTCTTCTCCCAGAGCTGCGGAAACTTATTAGCTATTTCACTACTTATCCAGAGATAATGTTTGTCACGTTTGAATCTAGCTTGGGCTGTTATATCACTCGAGTTCGATGAGACATTCTTGTAATTTGATGTCAACATCAACCGAATTCACCCCAAATGGATCCCACCACTCAATCCAGAATATTCATATCCAGCAGGTCACTGAACCAAACTTGCATACAAATGCTTTAAATGTTCCACATACACAAAAAGGTTGTCATCTTGCAGTTCAATGTCAACAGTGGCCAAAGAAGGAAATTGCGTGACATCAAAAATGACTCCAGTACAACTTTAGTTTTCCAAGGAAAGCAGTAATGACCTCTTTGCAAGGTATAAGATATAAACATTCCTAGATACCAGACAAACATTTTTAGTACTAGTCCCATCTGGTAACTTGACTTCTGAGCTGTGGGGGTATGGGGAGAAGGGAACTTTGATTCAATTCGGGCAGTAAAGTTTTGGTGGCCCTCTTAGAAACATGGCATGGTCCCCTGGGGGGGGGAGGCATATGGCCCACGTTAAGAACCACTGCTCTAATGTATTTTACAAACAAATTAATTTTCTTTATGAAAGGTCAAATGCATAACATTAAATGATGACTCAAGATTAAACCAAAATCATCATCTAAAAACCAAGTGAATAGGCAGGAAAAACTTCTTATAAATATCTTTAACAATTGAATATTATTTACAAACACCTAGCACAATACTCTCTCTGACACAACTGGATTTGGCAGTTGTCACTATATCTTAAGGCAATGCCCAAGTGACGTATACAAGTAGTAGATTTGTTATATTTAAGAAATAACATCTAGTTTCTGAAATAACTTTTCAAGTGCATTAGCAACATTTGTTCATTCTACCACAGAACGTTATTGGGTATTAGTTTTCACAAAGGTCTAGAAAAAACAAGCATTAAGACTGTTGATGTAATGTTACTTTCCATACACAATCATATTCTTCCATCTACACCAATTTTCAATAATCCTTACATGCAAACATTCACTAGTGGTCATTTTTATCTTTTATACCGATAATCTACTACAAAATTACATCACGTACTTCAACGTAATGTTGTTCTTGAAATAAGAACTTTCAAGTGCACCATAAAAAGCAAGCTGCAAACCACCAAAGACCATTAGATTTGTATTACTTCAGAGACCACAATAGCAAGAAGTTTTCAACACACATAACTCAAACAGCAAGATGTCAACTTATTTCAATATCTCACAGGTGAAACGTAGACTTAGTTTTCTAAAGTGAAACAGGTACTGATCATGATGGAAGAAATATTTTTTCTACTCAATTACATGCAAGTTAAGTAATTTCTGATCAATGAAATCAGCTAATTTCAAACAAACTCATAAAAAGATGTTTAGTTGTCCTAGGTTATAAGTTCATTTGGACTGATTGGCATTTTCCTTTGTGAAGAAAGTGAACATCTGAGGTTTGTGCTAAAGCTTCAATCTGAACTTATATTTAAACAATGCAAAACTGAAGAATGTCACATATGGTATCTTTGAAAAATCATACACAAGAAGAGTATGTTAAATGACATTTTTAATACTACTATGTTATAATTATTTTTTGTTGTAACTTGTTCATTATATTTAGAAGATAAATTATCCCTGCAGTTACTTCAAGTTTTCCTTAGCATTTAAATACATATACCTACCTATATAACAAAACGGTCTACAAAGACAAATTTGGAGAAAGGAACCTGGAAAAAATCATTACAAAATATTGTACAAACACTAAAGATTCTTTACCTGTCCCTCAGAAAATCAACAACATGTTTGAAGTCAGCAACACAATATTCTCGTTTCATGTCAGCCAACACTGCATCACTCCCCGACTGGACCGGGACATGCAAAAAAGCATATACTCGAGGGCTAGCCATAATTTTGGCGATATCCTGTAAGTACACAGCATCAAAGTTCACACAAAAAATGTCTAACACTTTGATAAAGCTTCACTAGAAATTACAGGTTTGGCTCGTAATGTCCAATTTTTGGAAAAATGATATAAAAACATGTATTTGTACCTAATATTTATTGATATCCTTCTTAACAGTTTTAACTTCTTGTTTCAAATGAAATATTATAACTATTTTCTATTGCAGACCTTGCATTAACACACTACTTACACCTGCCACACAAGCCAGCCCAGCATCTTGATGTGGATAAAAAAAAAATAATAATGAAGGTTTGGGTTGTTTAAATTAGACAAAAAGAAGACGTTTGGCCCTATTTTTGAGGTTTAGGTTTAGGTCTCCATGAGAGCCAATGTGAAGGTTTAAGTGTAGTTTAAGTGTAGGTCCAGGTTGGATAAAGGAAAAACTTATTTGAAAATGATATAATAAACTTGACAAACCAGCTGAATTGGAGATTCATCAATTGATTACTGGACTGACAGCAAAACATAAAATCTTCAAAAAGGGGGATTTCATCATTTCATAAATATTTTTTTTATTTTAGAACTTATGCCAAGCTTCATTTATCAAGATCTATTGAAATAACCTTAAATCACTGGTTTCCGAAAGGACCTCCCTGTTGACCACCCTAGGTTCGCTACTAAAAGATGCCGAGCTGGCTCGTGTGGCAGGTGCTAAAGACATTTACACACCTTAGGTATGAAAAAAAAAAAGGGTGCAACTAAAAGGAATGAAAATAAAATTGGTGGCCAATTTGGTTCAACTTTGTGCTGATAGTAGTTAAAATAAAATACACGGTCTAGCTAACTAATGAATGAATATTTGATGTAAAATTCTTATCAGTGCTGTAAGTTAGGTACCAGTTTGGCCACTAATTTTGATTTCGTTCCTTTAAGTCGCATGCTCAATCCGTTTTTGGCTGCACCTTTTTTTCATACCTAAGGTGTTTTTAATTAGATATCATGACTTTTTGTCAATACACACCAACATACCACACCAAATAAAAAAGTGACATTTGATAGTAACTAACATTAGCTTCTGGATCGCAACCCTATTATTAGGAACAAACCTTCACTTTACAGAACCAACCAGATTTTTAAAAGTATATGGTGGTAGTTTTTCCTCTCTAAAACAGTGTTAATAGCTTCCTTTATCTAATGCCATGGAACTTAGATTAACAGCCTCTTGTCATCACCACCCATGCAATCGGTACAGCCATATAAAGCATCATTATTTATGCTGATTGCTTAAGCTAGTACCACGTGACATTAAACACTCTTTAATTAGGATAATTTCATAAAATTGAGTAAATTAGTGCTGAAAAGTTGGCAGTGAATAATCAATAATAACCATCTACACATATGATACTTTTGAAATCTTGAGCTATAAACTGATAAACTAGTTTACTTGGCCTGATCAATATTTATGTATCTGCACGTCCTTTCACCTTATAGTTTTGCTGCTCTAAATTAGCTATCTTTAATCCTAATGACAAAAAACTAAAAACAGTCCACTTTAGACTGATAGCTTACGTGACTTTTTGCATAGGTGTGTGCAAAATTTTTTGTTAAATTTGATTGTTTTTGTTTAATAACTTTGCACACGTTGCTTATATTTACACCAAATGAGACTCCTAATTGTAGACTGTAAAGATCTATCAGTATACCAAACTTAAAAAAAAAAAATACCATAAAAGTTAAGTATGTTTTTCTATCAAATAAAGTTTCCGTACTTTTGGTGCAAAGAAAAAAAAAAGGAAGAAACTCGATCAATATTGTAGATGTTATAACTCAGGTATTTCTTATGGACTGCCTTGAAATGTAGTATGTGAAGTAAGCGTCCAGTAGAGCACATCCACTGAAGATATGCAATAGTTTGGATTACCACAGTCAGAGCTACAGAAAGTTGAAAATCGCTAAACTATCACTCCTGTTAATAACACACAGGTTGTATTTTGGGCAGCAAGACACACAACAGTATGTCCTGATCTGTACTGTTGCATAGGTGACTATTGCTGTTATTTACACTGGGAAAGAACTTCTCCCCTGATTGGTTACATCAGTAAGCAGATGCCTTCTGTATCATTCACTTAGCTCCCTGATTGGTTACATCAGTAAGCAGATGCCTTCTGTATCATTCACTTAGCTCCCTGATTGGTTACATCAGTAAGCAGATGCCTTCTGTATCATTCACTTAGCTCCCTGATTGGTTACATCAGTAAGCAGATGCCTTCTGTATCATTCATTTAGCTGTCAACAAGTATAAAAATCCTTGGAATTAAAAATGTAATAGAATGGACTTGGCAAAAAATCTGAATTTCAATCAAGGTTAAATTATGCTTGTGTTACTGATATTTGTTAATACATATTGACTCCCAAAATTAACCATCTGGGTCTCTACATCTAAAGCAAAAATTCAAAGTGCCCTCCCACAAAAATAAAATAAAAACCTAAACTGCCTGCACTAAAATCATGAAATAAAACAAGCTTCAATACTTTCTAGTGAAAAAATTATAATCTCCAGAGAAGGTTAGGTTATCATCACCTTTTCAAAGTATTATACAGAGAAAAGCATGATCAAATGGGTCATAGTTTTAACTCAACATCACACAAAAAATGCCAACCTCAAGATGTTCCAGGATATAGGGTGGGTTTGTCATTCCAAGTCGAAGCATGCAACCTTCAGGAATTACTTCCTCCAGTCGATAGAGTAGCTGAGGAAGGGTCACACCAATGTCTCGACCATAAGCTCCAGTGTCTTCTGAAGTCAGCCATATCTCTCTTACACCCTCTTGCCAATTAAAAATTAACTCAGTTACAAGCAACTAGTATCTTATGAATCAAATCTGTGATATTGTAGTCAAAGAAAGGCACATTTAAAGAAAAGTATTTTCTAAGTTTTAGATTTTTCATACAATCCTATACAAAGAGCTATTTGTAATAGTTGTCCCTAATTTTGAACCGATAGACCAGAGAAGTCAACAACAGCCACCACCAACTGCTGGACTACTCTTGTCAGACAACATAGTCACTGTTTTATTGTGTCCACAATCCCAATGTGTGGAGTGAATTTTGTGTGACAACTGGACACAGACCATGAACCTCCAAATTCATTAGGCCATGCTGTTATCATTCAATATTCTCTGTAGCCTAAAAGGCTAAGTGCTACCTTGTCCTCTTTAGTGTTTTGCACTTGAAAATTAATTGCAGTTGTTAGAAGATGTTTCTGTTGTTATATCACAGGTTTCCAGTAATTATACAACTTTTAAAAAGTAACTGTAAGCTTTATGGTGAAAATGTCTGCTAGTCACAAAAAGTCAGAAGTATCTAATGTACATTTTGAAACAGTAAGTGCATACGTTAAAATAATATGCAAATTACAAAAGAAATATTCTATGAAACCAAAGAAAAACAGTTAACAGTTCATCCAATTAAACTTCTTCAGAATCCCAAAAGAACACCTTACCTTTAAAAGCTCGTTCAGCTCTTGTCACAATCTCCTCAATAGTGTAACTCCCTAATTCACCTCTAGCATGCTTGGTCTTACAGTACGTACACTGATTAAGACACCTGCAGAGAACACATTTAGCAGTTTAGGTAACAAAAACAACAGATGAATATAGAGAATTTTGATATATAGTATTTTGTTTTAATTATTTAACCGTAACCAAAAATTTCAAGCAAACAACTTCCATCATTTGTTTTTCAGAGTCAATATTTCATTATTGTTCAGAGGTTCAATATATAATCTGTTAATTCAGAGTCAAGACTTCATTTTTGTTCCAAAGTTCTACTACCTGTTCATTCAGAGTCAAGATTTTATTATAATAAAATCTTGACAAAATAGCTTTTCTTGAATAGCACTGTCCTCTATCAGCACAAATTTTCAACATATGCCACTAGCCTTCCGCCTCCCACTTTTGAATATCCACGTGCAAATGATCATGCAGCAGCTCTCCACCAATAGGAACATGACACTACTTCTATCATAACAAGCGCCCTCTTCACATCTGCACTTGTTAGTCACTTTGAGATTGGTCAGAAGACCTACACCATATATCACTGGAAGTGGGGAGGCTGGGTGGGAAATGTGAAAGGAGGTAAGTATCCATTGCAAGTACATTTTCAGTGTGGGAAAATGCTAACTTCCGATACAATATCTTACCTCCTCTCACAACATAGCTAGAATCCCCCACTGAACTGGTGGAGGGCTAATAAAAAAAAAAATGCTCTTTTAGAAAGCACCCAAAGAGATACCAGGAGGTGTGGAACCAAAAGAGAAAACATCACACCTTAGTGGAAGACTGCACCACATCTGATACAGGTGTACCCTTTGCTCTTTTATGACAGTGTTGCGAACATAAAAGGCAGAAAACATAAAGAAATCCCAAAATATGTATGACCAATGAATGGAACTCCTGGGTTTCGAGTGGCTAAGGCTCGACAAACCATAGTGGTAGTTCGATCTCATCCAACACCAGATCTGCAGGGAAACAACATCCAGCAGATGGTAGGAAGGTGGAAAGTCCCAGCAGGATGACATCTCTGGCCCAAAACCTGACAGAATGGGTATAGTACTTCCAGTCCATGGTAGAAGGATATCCGGCTGCACACAAACAGGAAAACAGGTGCTGCATCCAGCGAAAAACACCACCAAATCTGCCAGGAATTGGCATTTAGCAGACAGTAGGAAGAGGGACCACAAACCTGGGGTGCATCTTCAGTCTAAAACCTAGTGGCAGTGAGCATTTGTCACCCAGTACATGGTAGGAGGAAGGATACTGGCCAGCACACATGTAATGACTTTCTTAGCTGGACTATCTGGCATACAACACTTCCTACTGCCAACCTGATGTACAATTCCAGATGCCATCAGGTTTTGGTTGTGGCACTACATCATATTCCTGTTTATATATCTAACCGATTGTTTTTTTCTACTGTGGTATTCTTTCTTCCTACCATCCAGTGGGTCTGGTTTTAGTTGGAGATGGCGCAGTAATGATTAGTATCATGTGTAGATGGTGTAATGCTCTTCTTATGTTGGACCTGATGTACAGTTCCAGATGCTGCCAGGTTTTGGTTGAAGCACTCTTCCATGTCACAAATATATATATAATTGCAGTTTACCTCTCAGACTGAGATGTTCCTCCTCCCTACTGTCCTTCAGATGTACATTCCTGGTGGGTCCAGTGTTGTTTGGACTCTCAACTGAGTGGTATGATTCATCACTCTGAAGAACAAGTCCCCCACCCCAATAGCTAGGAACTAGTAAGTGGTAAGGAGACCCATGCTCTACTAGAAGAGAGGAGGGGAAAAATGCATTGGAGAGTCCGGAGGACTGCATCACTGGAGACAGTGCAAAGGGTGACTGCAATACCCTATTTTGTAAAGCAAAGCTACCACATCAACGGATTCGATCAACCAAAACCTGGTGGCAACTGGAAATGTACATTAGGTCTGCAGTAGAAAGAGTCTCAAAGCCACAGAGCATCAGAGATAGGCAGCAATTTCTGTCTGCTTTACTCATGCTAGTCCATGAGTGTACGGTATGGAACAAACATACTTATGAAGCAAAAGCCACTAGAGAGAACTACTAGCAGTCCTATGGAACACCCTATCTATACAATTATGAAGAATGGACAGTACGGAGTTTCAAAAAAAAAAGTATACCTGGTCAGACACCACTTGCCACAGAGTGCGATCAACAATACAATAACAAAAGGCTCCTGAAAAGATAAAAGTTAAAAAAAAGCAACCTTTCATAACACCAAAACACAAAAATTTAAATAAATAGTAAATAAAAACTAAGTAGTACAAGGGAAAACTTTTGACCAATCCGTGAGCAAAAACCAGCACATCTGTACAGTACAACTGCAAATCGAGAAGTGATCAATAAGTGCAGATGTGACAAGGGCACTGGTTACGATAAGAGTGATGTCATGCTCCTATTGGTGGAGAGCTGCTGCATGATGATTTACATGTGGGTGTGGATGTGTTGAAGCAGAAGGACGAAGGCTAGTGGCATGCATTAAAAATTTGCAGAGATAGAGGGCAGTGCTAGTAGAGAAAAGGTATTTTGTGAAAGGAGGTAATACATCATATCGGAATTCTACTATCTGTCCATTCAGTCAAGATTTTAATCTTGTTCAAAAGTTCTACTATCTGTTCATTCAGAGTCAAAATTTTATTCTTATTCAAAAGTTCTACCATCTGTTCATTCATAGTCAAGACTTCATTCTTGTTCAAACATTATAATACGTGAAATCATAAATAATATTCAAAGTTAAAACTGGTACACAATTAAAAAC